ATGTCAATGCTGTTGTAATGAAATGCTTCTAATTATATGGTTATTAAGTAAATAATTAAAAAAAACTAAAAATGAACCTACCATATGATCCAGTTATACCACTCCTTGGCATATACCCAAAGGACTCATCCTATTGTAGAGACACTTGTACATCCATGTTTGTTGCTGCTCTTTTCACAATAGCTAAAAGATGGAAGCAACTTGTGTCCCTCAACTGAGGAGTGGTTAACAAAAATTTGGTATATTTACACAGTGGAGTTCTATTAAACAGTAAAGAACCATGAAATAATGAAATTTGCAGGTAAATGGATGGATCTAGAAACTGTTATACTAAGTGAAGTAACAGAGACTCAGAAAAATAAATGACATATATTCTCCCTCATATGTAGCTCCTAGCACCAAATCCTTTTAAATTCCGGGTCCTTTTAATAAGATGATGCTATACAGCAATCTTTTCTGCATGAAATAACTACCATCATCACGACTTCGGCTGAGCCTGATTGCTAAACATAGTCACAATTGGGATTGTTGACAGTTGTGCTCATTCATTAAAAGAGTGCCAAGCAGAGTCACTGGACCCTCACCTGAGTATCCAGCCACTCTTCCCAGCCAACTAGTCCAGCCTTGGAAGACAAAAGAAAAATGAGGAATGACCCAATAGAGGGATGCTTTTGGAAGCCCTTGTCAAGAAACACCAATGGACGCTCATGTGAACATTTGAAAATTGCCCTTTTTTCTAGTTCCCTGTCTAGAACTTGTAATGCTCATTACTCTTGCCTTTACTTCTCCTTCACATCTACTATTCATGATTCAAGGACTTTCTTCTCCTCTTAGAGACAAGAGTTATGCAATTTGGGAGTCTTTTAGATAAGACCCACTGAAGGGGTACTCCAATTGCCTCACCCTGTGCCCCTGTTAGCATGGAAGAAGCCAGAGCAGTCTGCGTCCCTATTCCTTATTGGCAATTTGGGTAACCCCTTCAGAGGATGGTGTGATAAGAATAGGAGGTAGGAATTGGCTAGGCAGTTAGGGTAAAAAGATTCCAAAGAAGTGTAGCCAATTTCTTGGCTAAAAGTCTAAATATCCTTGGGCCTGTTAGCAACATACTTGTTCCAAAGGCCAAAAATGTAAAAAAGTATTTGGGAGCTTGTTTCTAATCCTTAAAAGATTTTAGGGTTACCTCTTCAGAGGGGGGAATGTTGGAGGGGAGGGAGTGGGCACGGATTTGATCAAAACACGTTATATGCATGTATGAAATTCTCAAAGTTTTTGTAAAAATTAAAAAAACAGAAAAGAACAAAATCTTTTTTTTTGGTCTTTTTGAGACAGGGTCTCCCTGTAGCCCCAGCTGTCCTGGAACTCACTATGTAGACCAGGCTGGCCTTGAACTAACAGAGATCCGCCTGCCTCTGCCTCCGGAGTGCTGCGATTAAAGGCATGCGTCACCATGCCCAACGAGAACAAAATCTTAACTACAGAGTTGGAAAATATTCCAAAATAATTTCCTACTTGTTAAAAATAAAAGCCAGAAGAAATTATGACCAATTGACAAAGTCACAGAGTTCAGATCCTGAGCTGATACAGATCTCACAAAATTCAGATCCAGCTCAGGTACAGATCTCATAAAATTCAAGTTGAAACTTTATGATGGCTCTTGGTATCAAAACATAGTGCTATGTGGAAAGTGGGTTTCTTTTAATAAGGGAGATTAGGAGGTAGCTTCTTAAGTATCTTTGATGGCATTATAATCTGATCAGGAAGAAGCAAAAGCCACTAGGGTTGCACAGAGTACATGTCCTTTCCCTGTAATGGGGTTTCTGGTGACATTTCCAGAAAACTGCAGGTTTATGATTGGGAAAGGAGAAAGGCCTTAACTGTGCTGGAATTCTTGCTTCATTGCTGGTAAGAAGCTTCAACCAGACTTTGAGGTGAGTGGCTGAGTGGCTCCTTTCCCTTCCCTCCTGTCCCCATAAATTTCCCTTTCTATCCTGCCTCACAACCACTATGTTTATTTCATACTCATTAGAATAATAAAGGTTAAAAAAAACCTGAAACTGACAAAGGTTAGCAAAAATGTGAAATAGCAGAGTTCTTATCCATTGCTGCATGGATTATCCCTTAGAAACATCACTTTAGATTCCAATTTGTGAAAATCTAAGTTAGAAATGTGTGCACAATTTTCGTTAGCGATACCTCCCAGGAAAAATCTCACACATGTGTACAAGTATTACAGGTAGGACTGCCCGTAGCTGTCATGGGTATAATATCAAACAACTGGAAGCACATGAGGTGGTCATCAAAATGAGAACAGGTGGGCCGGGCGTGGTGGCGCACGCCTTTAATCCCAGCACTTGGGAGGCAGAGGCAGGTGGATCTTTGTGAGTTTGAAGCCAGCCTGGTCTACATAGTGAATTCCAGGACAGCTGGGGCTACAAGGAGACCTTGTCTCAAAAAAGACCAAAAAAAAAAAAAGAAAAAACAAACAAAATGAGAACAGGTAAATGCGTTTAATTTTGGTATATGTGAGCCTAATAATAAAGCAGGTCACCTAATCCTATAGGTGCCAACATGGTTGATTCTTACAAATAACAGAAAAATTCATACAGTATAATTTCATTTATGTAAATCTTAAGGGATATAAAATGGCCACATATTTTTATCAATAATTATATGTGTTATGATTCACTTAGGGGGAAAACTCAAACAGCCTTGATATACTGATAAGATATTGTTTCTGGAACTGAATAGTTTTGTCATTTGTATTCATCATATTTTCTGTACTGTTTAGTATGTTTTATATTATAGTTTTACTTTCTCTACATTATATACTGGAATATCTGAAGCACATAAGCATTTATGTATTATTTTCATGCTATGCATTTTAGATAAACTGTCGTAAAAACTGTCATAAATAAATAAATAAATAAATAAATAAATAGGGGGTGGAGAGATGGCTCAGTGGTTAAGAGTACTGACTGCTCTTGCAGTGGACCTGGGTTCCTTGATAGGAGTTCAAGGCCAGCCTGGTCTACATAGTGAGTTCCAGGCCAGCTGGGTTTAAAGGGAGACCCTGCCCCAAAAAAACCAAAAAAAAAAAAAAAGAAAGAAAGAAAAATTTTTTTAAAAAGTAAATAAATAAATAGGGGTTGGAGAAATGGCTCAGCAGTTTAGAGCACTGGCTGCTCTTGTGGAAGACCTTGGTTGGGTTTCCAGTACCTACATGATGGCTAACAACTCCAGTTTTGGAGGAATCTGATGCCTTCTTCTGACCCTCCTGAGCATTGTGCCCACAGGTGCACTGACATGCAGGCAAAACATTCATATGCAAAAAAAAAAAAGAAAAAAATTAATTCAAAAATAAAAAATAGGAGCTGGAGAGATGGCTCAGCAGTTAAGAGCACTGACTGCTCTTCCAGAGGACCTAAATTCAGGTCCCAGCACCCATATGGTAGCTAAAAACCATCCAGTTCCAGGGACATTACATGGCACGGGTGTACTTTCATACATGCAGGCAAAACACTCACACACTTAAAATAAAAAATACTTAAAAGCCACCTAAATAGCCAAGAGCTAAAGCTTAGCTTTGAAATTCTGCCCTTCCTCAGTCAAGGTCCATGTAGCTTGTTTTTGTTTTGCTTTTTGTTTTTTTGAGACAGGGTCTCCCTATAGCCCCCAGTTGACCTGGAACTTGCTATGTAGACCAGGCTGGCCTTAATCTCAGAGATTCACTGCCTCTGCCTCCTGAGTGCTGGGATTAAAGCTGTGCACCATACCTAGGATGCATTTTTTATACAATTTATTATCCTAGGCTCATTTGAGTCTTTTGTTTCTTGAGATAGGGTCTTATGTGGCCCAGGCTGTTCTCAAACTCAGGATCCTCCTGCTTCAGCTGCTCCACTGCTGAGATTCGATTCTTAGGGGAAAAAAAAAAAAAAAAGCTTCTGCTCAACTGTATATCCCCTTGCTCAGACCAGTTGGGGGGAATCTTAATCCTGGCTTCTAGGCCATCACCTCCTAAATGTCCTCTTCAACAGGAATGTCTGTCCTACTCACCTAGAAGAGGACTTGACTCTAGTCAGCAATGAATAAACGCTAGGGCCTAGGGCCTGGCTCAGTTAGTAAAGCACTTGCAGATAAGTGTGGAGAAGCATCAGTCCACAGGATCTATATGAATACCCAGACGTGGTGAAGTGCACTTATAATCCTAGAGCTGGGGAGACGGAGACAAGAGGATCCCTGGGGCTCACTGGTCAGCCAATGGGAGTCCTTGTCTCAAAGGAGTACATGGTGTTCCTAAGGATGACACCCAAGGTTGTCCTTTAGCTTCCACATACACCTGCACACACATGAACATGCAAACCCATTCATTAAAAATAAAAGCTAGTCAGAAGAGGGCATCAGATCTCCTGGAACTGGAGGTACAGTTGTTAGCCACCATGTAGATGCTGGGAATCAAACTTGGGTCCTCTAGAAGAGCAGCAAGTGCTCTTAACTACTGAGCCATTTCAACACGGGTGCATTTACATACATGCAGGCAATACACACATACACATAAAGTAAAAATAAGTGGATCTCTGTGAGTTCAAGGCCAGCCTGGTCTACATAGTAAGTTCCTGGCCAGCTGGGGCTACAGGGAGACCCTATCTCAAAAAGACCAAAAAAAAAAAAAAAAAAAAAAAAAAGGGAGGGAAGGACACAAAACACCGGGGGGGGCGGGCCAACCACCCCACAACAACATGCATACATAAATACGTAAATAGCACCCCCCAACAGACGTTGTGTATAAAAAAAAAAAAAAAAAAAAAAAAAAAAAAAAAAAAAAGGCTGGATGGAGCCCATAGACCTGGCTGGGCTGGCTAGAACCTCCGAAATCCCAGGCCACAGAGAATCATATCCAGAAGCCCACTGCCCAGTTTCTTTCCAATCTAGCACTGCACTGAGGTAGAGGTAGGGGTAAGGCTCAGACCATCTAATGAAATGAACAACAAAGAAACCTGGTATACCAGGAAGGGGCAAATGCCCACTTTATTAAACAGAAGCTGACCTGTAGGGCCCCCAGCCCCCCCCCCCCGGCACATGGACCACAAAAGGCCAGCAGAGGGAATCTGCCCTCTGTCCCCAGCACCCTGCCCCAGGGATGGGTGGGGCAGGAGTGGGCTGGCCTCACAGAGGCCTCATAAATACAATGGGGTCACTGCTGGTGGATACACAGGGTTGGATAGGGTAGGCTCTCCCAGGCATCCTCTGTCACGCAGCCTGCTGTGTTTGCAGAGATCTGGGTTCAGTGTCCAGGCGGCACACAGGACTGTCATATACCATCTGCAGGTTCACCTTGTGGCCCACCAGCTCCCGGATGTTGTTGATACTGTATTTGATCATTGTTGGGCTAGAAGGGGAAGGGACAAAGTTTAACAGTATATCAAGTCAGGCTCTCCTTGTACTCTAAACAGACCATGCCCAGTCCAGGCTCAGGGCCTTTGCAATGGCTGTGCCCTATGCCTAGTACATTCTTCCGGATCCCTCGCTCCTTCCTCTACCTCCAGTGTGCTCAGACACCATCTCCTCCATGAGCCTTCCCTGATCACCTAGTCTCCAGAGTCCTGCTTTGTCTACTCTATAGCACGTCCTTTCCTCTAACACTCTGGCCTTCACTTACTGAGTTTTCTCATTGGTCTTGCTAGTTCTCCTTGCCCTTCCCTTAGGACCCAGGCTCTGCGGTGTTAGGGACACATCGTAACGTTCACAGCCCAGGGCAGGGCCAGGCACAAAATTGGCCTTTCTACTAAAGAGCCCTCAGACGGGCTGGAGAGATGGCTTGGCAGTTAAGAACACTGGTTGTTCTCACAGAAGACCCAGTTTTAAATCCCAGCACCCATGTGACAGCTAACAACTGTCCAGAACTCCAGTCTAAGGAGATCCAACAGCCTCTTCTGACCTCTGCAGGCATTGCACGACATGGGTATACTTACCTACATGCAGACAATACACGCATACACATAAAAGAAAAAAAAAAAAAAACCTCAGACAAATGAACTGAGTGAATGAGTGGATGGAGTCACCCCAAGTTAAGGCCTGGGCTGGGCACTCACCGCTCCAGGGAGAGACCCCAGGCAATGACAGACACATTCTCGGGGAGCCCCATGGGCAGGAGCATCTCAGGACGGAAGACCCCAGAGTTACCTACTTCCACCCACTTCTTCAGACCTGTAAGGACAAAAGAGGAAACTAGTACGTGCATATGGACACTGCTGCCCACAGAGAGCTGGGAAGATGTTAGGAGCCAAGTGTGGGGCCCCTCAGACCACTCTCTATCCAGTTTCCCAACCCCCTGACCTTGGTGATAGCTGAACACTTCCATGCTGGGCTCTGTATAGGGGTTGTAGGCTGGCTTGAATCGCAGCTGTGTGATTCCTGCAGGGGGTGGCCAAGGCATGGTAATGACCAAGGTATCCTCCCAGGGAATCCCAAACACTTCCTGGCCTGGCTCCCATGCTCACCCAGCTTGGTGAAGAACTCCCTCAGGACACCCATGAGATGGCCCAGTGTGAGCCCATGGTCAGCTACCACACCCTCTATCTGGTGGAACTCAGCCAGGTGCGTGGCATCTAGTGTCTCGTTCCGGAACACACGGTCAATGGAGAAGTACTTGGCTGGTGTGAAGGGCTTCTGGGGGTGACAGTCAGGCCAAGCCCAGCCCACGAATGGGTCAGAGGGTCTATAGAATGGTAGCTAGCAGCCACCCACCCGACCAGGCTGCCATACCTTCTGGGCTAGGCGGTAGAGGGCACGGGCGCTGGCTGCTGTGGTATGTGTGCGAAGCAGGTTTTTCCGGGCTTCATCCAGCTTCCAGGTGTACTTGTAGCTTCAGAAGGGAAGGTGGTCTGCAGTGTGGTCCTGGAGCCCCAGCCTCCTGCTGCTCCCCACCCCAAGTAGTGCTCCTGTCTTACCCCTGTGAGCCGTAGCCGCCCTGGGAATGGGTCCGTTTCACCCGCTGGACATAGTCCATTGGGAGCTGAAGGGCTTCAGCTGGATCTAGGCAAGACAGAGCCATGTGATCAATGAGCATTTCTCAGAAGCTACTGCATGGAAGTTGGATACGGCTCCTTGGCAGCTGCTGCCCCTACCATGTCCAGGGGCACCTGGCACTCCTCAGTTAGTCACCTCCCCCCCACCCATAACCCTCCATGTTTCCTACTTCACTGGGCGAAAAGCCCAAGTCCTCTCTCTGGCTCTGACCCGTTACCTACTGCTCTGGTCTTCTGTCACTCCTACTTGATCAAGCCCTGCAGTCATAGGTCCCCAGCTGAGCACACCTGGAGCATTCCAGCCTCAGAAAGTTTGCACTGGCCATGTCCTTTGCACTAGTGTCCCTGCATTATTTAACACCTTGTCCCACCACCCAACTTGCTCAAGAGTTAACACATCTCTCCATCCAGGAAGTGGGGGAAGGAGGGGAAGTAGGGGAAGTGGGTCTCCCTGGGGTAAGGACTATTATCACACTCAGGGCAGTGACTCAGGTCACAACAATCTAGGTACACAGGAGGGGCTTCAGGGAGCACTTGCTCAAATACACAAAATATTGTCCAGAGCTTCCTGGAACCCAGGGCCTTCCTCAGGTTTAGCAAGTGCTCTACCACTGAGGTGGACTCCAAATGCAAATGTGCAAATAGTATTTTTTTTGTTGTTTGGAAAGTGTCACTCTTTAGCTAGTCTGGAACTCACAATGTTCCAGCCTCAGCCCCAAGTTCTGAGATGATAGGTGTGCCCACCAAACCCAGCTCAAGCTGTTACTTCCCAGGAACATAGCTTTGGTCCTTTAGTCAGTCTCCAGCACTTACAAGCTGTGTGGTCCATGGTGAGCAATGTTCTCTCTGTGCCTCAGTTCCTCAACAGGAAATGAGGGGCTAAGAGTACCATCTCCTATAGCTGCCTGGAGTTTTTGGTATCATGACAACAATGAATCTTATTGAGAAGTGAGAAATGGCATCCAGGGAGCTCTCATGCTCTCTTAGTGTGAGAAGTCATTCATTTCTGGTGGGATCAAGGACAGTTTTGGCTGGTGTGTGGCTCAGGGCTAGAACACTTGTGGAGAATGCAGGAGACCCTGGGTTCCATATCCAGCAATGCACGCTTGCGCGTGCGCACGCGCGCACACACACACACACACACACACACACACACACACACGCACACACACAGTCAGTCATGGTGACTCATACCTGTAGTCCCAATACATAGGAGATAGGAGGCTGAGGCAGGAGTACTGACCAAGGTCAGCCTCATTACATAGTGTGTTCCATAAAGAAAAATCCAAAATAGCTAGGCAAGGTGGCTCATATCTGTAATCTCAGCACTTGGGAAGCTGGGCTGAGGCAGGAAGCCTGCCATGAATTCAAAATCACCCTGGGCTACAGATCAGGTCTCTTAATTGGAGGTTCAGGGAGGGGCTGGGGTGACTGATGGACATTGTTAGAACCGAAGACAACATGCCTCAGTTTAAAAGATTTATTTATATTTTTAAATTATGTGTATTGGGGTGGGGAGGTACACGAGTGCAGGTACCCAGATTGCCTGGAGCTAGAATTATAGGCAGTTGCAAGCTGCCATACATGGGTGTTGGGAACTGAACTAGGGTTCTCTGCAAGAGCAGCTAGTGCTCTTAACTGCTGCTGAGCTATAACTCCAGCTACCATACATGCCTCAGTTTAGTGGAAAAGATTCTGACCCAAAATAAACCCATGAGACCAACATGAGGGGGAGAGCAGCAGAGTCAGGGTGGCCTTTGGTTATGCTATACTGGGAACGAATACAATCCAGGTTCCCATATTTGCTAAGTTAAGTGTTCTACAGCTAAGTCACACCCCAGCCTTAGTGTGGCATTAAAGAGCTGGGACAAAACAGTTCTGACTACCAGCACAGATACAGCATGGGCAAAGGCCCTGAGGTGGGTACTACACTGTCAAGCAACAGAGACTGGTCACAGTGGAAAGAGATTGCAGAGGTGGACAGGACTAGCTCCCAGGAGGGTCTTGCTAGCCACAAAGGCAGATCTCATTTTATGAAATAAGATAGTCCTTCCCGCCGGGTGTGGTGGCACATGCCTTTAATCCCAGCACTTGGGAGACAGAGGTAGGCGGATCTCTGTGAGTTCAAGGCCAGCCTGGTCTACATAGTGAGTTCCAGGACAGCTGGGGCTACAGGGAGACCCTGTCTCAAAAAGACCAAATAAAAAAAGATAGTCCTTCCCTAAAGCATCCCCCAGGCCTGGGATCGCTGCTGTCCCCTTGGTCAGGCTTCTAGACTACCTACCCCTTAGAAAGAAGGTGTCATGCTGGTCACGTGCTGGATGCTGCTGGGGCTGGAAGAGCGCGTCAAAGTTCCAGAAGGAGCTCTCGATGAAGTTGTCAGTAGGCATCTCAGTGAACCTGTGGGAGATGTGAGCTGACTGCCCTGCCTGTGCCTGGTGACTACTGCACCCCATCCCAGGCCCTGTGCTCACCCCATCTCCAGGAAGATCTGCCGGAACTGGGAGCGGACCTTGAGTAAGGGGTGTAGGTGGCCGCAGTCCAGAAGTACACCACGAGCAGAGAAGTTGTAGGGCTTGAAGGGCCGGTCCCGCCAGGAGCCACTTTGGGGGGATTCAGGGTGCAAGGACATGATGAAGGCTGTCTAAGCTATCCCACATACCTCACCTGTCCCCAACCCTACCTGGAGATCATCTCTGCACTCAGCTCTGCTTCCTGCTTGGACACACTGGTGCTAAAGGCGCTGCCCTTACTCACCCAATAGGTTTTCAGGGTCCTGTGACCAGAGGAAAAGAAGGGACGTTGTCACCTCGAGAGGCTCCCATTGACCTTCACTGGGTGCTAATCCCAGCACCATCCACCAAGTTACTCTTTTTTTTTTTTTTTTTTTTGACAGTGTCTCATGTGTCCCAGGCTGGCCTAGAGCTTGCTATGTAGCTGAAAATGACCTTGAACTCCTGATCCTCCTGTGTGTTGATATTACAGGTGCGCACTATACCTGGTTTATGTGGTGCTAGGGATCAAACCCAGGACTTCCTGCATGCTAATCAAGGATTCTATCAACTAAGCTATGTCCTGAGAACCTGCAAAATTTATTTATTTTAATATTTATTTTTTTGGTCTTTTTGAGACAGGGTCTCTCTGTAGCCCCAGCTAGCCTGGAACTCGCTATGTAGACCAGGCTGGCCTTGAACTCAGAGATCCTCCTGCCTCTGCCCCCCAAGTGCTGGGATTAAAGGCATAATCCACCATACCTGGCTCCTGCAGTATTTATTGAGTTTTGGTTTTCCCAAAGGGTCTTGTTATATAGCAGGGGTTGGAATTACAAACATGTGCCATTTAAGTTGGCAAAACACCCTGACCTGCTTCATGTTTTGCTTCTTGGTGCTAGGGAATCACCCCAGGGCCTCGGGTGTGCCGGGTAAGTGTTCTACTACTGAAGCTCTATCACCAGCTCTTTTTTTTAAAAGATTTTATTATGTCTGCATGTGTATAAGTACACCTGTGTCATGCAGTGCCTGAGGAGGACAGAACAGAGAGTCAGATTCTCTGGAACTGGAGTTACAGATGGTTGATAACCGCCATGTATGTGCTGGGATTCGAACCTGGGTCTTCTGTAAGAACAACCAGTGTTCTTAACTGCTGAGTCATCTCTCCAGCCCTGAGATTTTACTAGATCTTCTGGAGCTAGTTACAGGTGGTTGTAAGCTGCTTGGCATAGGTTCTAGGAATTGAACTTAGGTACTGTGCAAGAGTAATATGTACTCTTAACCACTAAGCCATCTCTCTAGCCCCAGTATCTCTTTTTTTAAGAGCTTTTTTTTGTTATTTTGTCTTTTTTTTCCAGAGCTGAGGACCGAACCCAGGGCCTTGCGCTTCCTAGGCAAGCACTCTACTACTGAGCTAAATCCCCAACCCCCAAGAGCTTTTTTTTTTTTAAAGTTATTATTAGCCAGGTGTGGTGGCGCACACCTTTAATCCCAGCACTTGGGAGGCAGAGGCAGGTGGATCTCTGTGAGTTCAAGGCCAGCCTGGTCTACATAGTGAATTCCAAACCAACTACAGGGGCTACAGGGAGACCCTGTCTCAAAAAAACCCCAAAAAAAAAAAAAAAAAGTTATTATTACGTTTATCTATTTGTATATATGTGTGCTTGTGTATTTGTGTAGGCACACATGTCCTAAGGCTCATTTGTGGAGATCAGAGAACTTTTTGTAAAAATTGACTTTTATTTTATGTGTATATGCAAGTGCCTGCACATATGTCTGAGCACCATGTGCATGCCTGGTGCCCGAGAGGGCCAGAAGATAGCAGATCCCCTGGAACTGGAGTCACAGGTGGTTGTGAATACCTGATGTGGGTGCCACGAACCAAGCCTGGGCCAACAATGAGCCATCTCTCCAGCCTCCCAGAGAGCAACTTTTTCTTGTGGGCCCACTGTCTAGCTCCCTATGTCCACACATTTATTCATTTAACAAACACTAAGAACCTAATGTGTGCCAGGGTCAGTTTAAGGTGCTGCACATACAGCTGGGAATATTAGATAAAGTCTCGAGGGTATATTTTGGGTCAGGATCTGTTCCCCCTAAAGTTACTCCATAACCCCATAAGATAATATTTTATAAGTAAAGAAACTTGAGGCTCAGAAAGGAGAGGTGAGCTGGCCAAGATCACATAGTGAACAAGTGGCAGGGCCTCAACTTCAATCAGGTAGCCCTGCACCCTAACCCTTAAATGGTTTTATGAGACAGGTTTCACTATGTAGCCCAGGCTGGCCTGGAACTCGAGATCCCCCTTGCCATAGCTGCCTACGTGCTGAGGTTGCTGGTGTTCGCTACCAAGTCTGGCTCAACTGTGCTTTTTTTTTTTTTGTCTTTTTGAGACAGGGTCTCCCTGTAACTGTCCTGGAACTCACTATGTAGACCAGGCTGGCCTTGAACTCACAGAGATCTGCCCGCCTCTGCCTCCCAAGTGCTGGGACTACAGGCGTACGCCACCATGCCCAGCTCAACTGTGCTTTTTCTAAGTGACACACAAGCAGGGATTTCATTGGGTAGTCACCCATGCCTGGAAGATGCTGAGAAGATATTTCTCAGCAGTAGATGCAGTAAGCACAAAGGCCCTGGTGTTGCATGAGCCCAACACATACATTTAACCATGTATAAATGGGATCTAGGTAAAGACCAACAGCATCAGAAGTGGGTATGGGATGGGCAGCCCCCTCCGTTCATCCCCACAGTGCTGTACAGGTAAAGAGGGCCTGAGCCTGTTGGTCACTCACACTTCAGTCAGCAGCTTCCTCTTCCTGAGCTCACTCTTTTCCTTCTCTGCCAGCTTCTCAGCCTGGCCTGCCTGAACCAGCTGCAATCGCTTCTGCACCACATCCTCCACACTGTCCACCTGTCAGGCCAAGGGGAAGGAGGGCTGGTGTCTACTCACCCGCCCATCTATCTTCCTGCATGCACTCGAGCCTGCCTGCTTGCAGGAACTTACCACTCGGAACACCTGGGGCCCATCGGCTGCGCTCTTGTCCACGCGGATCCACTTGTTGGACATGGCCTTGCTGAAGCCTACTTTGCCGCTGGGCAATCGCTAGGGGAGTATAGTTGTGCCGAGTACTATGATAGACCTACCTGCACCCTACCCCCCTCCTTGGGCCCCATCCCTGGGTCCTACCATGAGCTCACTCTGTGCCAGGCCCCCCAGGGGGATGCTGCGAAACACACGGGCCTCATGGCTGCCCTCCCGGGCAATCTCTTCACCCTCAGTGGTCAGCTCCCAGCACTTGGTGGAACGAAGCTCAGCCTCAATGACCTGTAGGGAAATAACGGACACGTGTGAGGGGTGTTCAGAGCTACCCTCAACTTAGGGCCAGAAATTCAAAGTGCAGCCTCAGGGATGAAGAGATCGCTTAGAGGTTAAGGGTGCATACTGCTCTCCCAAAGGACCCAAGTTCAGCTCATCCATGTCTTGTCAGGCAGCTCACAAACAACTTTAACTCTAGTTTCAGGGAATCTGATGCCTGTGGCTTCCTCAGGCACGTGCTGTCACATGCACAAACTCACACACACAAAACCCCAAGGGGCAACCTGGAAGCTATGTCACATTCTAGCTGTACCACCTGCCAGCCAAGTGACCTTGAGGGGATACTCTTCCTTTACAAGGCCTACATCAACCAGCTTGTAATGCAACTGTGATGACAGTTCCGATCTTCCAGGGTGAGGTACAGAGCTAGGAATATCACTGGGCAGAGGAGAAATGACTTTTTCTTGCCATGGGGCCCAAAAGGGCTTCAAATTTCTAGACCTAAGCAACTCTCCTGCCTCAGCCTCCTGAGTGGGGGACTACAGCACATACCACTGCCCCTACTAGCTAGGCAAATTCTTAAGGCAGTGCTAGGGATTAAACCTAGAGCCTTGGGCATGCTGGATTAGCGATCTACCACTGAGCCTCATTCCTAGCCTTTTTTGTTTGTTTACGTGTGTGTGTGTATTCATATGGTATATATTTGCACCTGTATGCAGGTGCACACACACATAGGAGTGTTCCTGCTCTCTCTGCCTTATTCTCTTGAGAGAGGGTCTCTCACAGAACCTGTAGCTCACTATTTTTCACAGAGACTGGCAGCTGGCACCCCCCCCCAAAAAAAACCCTCCTATTTCCACTCCCCACAGCACTAGGGTTAAAGAAAATAAGTGTGGCTATACCTAGCTTGTATATGGTGCTGGGGATTTGAACTTGGGTCCTCACGCTTGTGCGGCAAGTGCTCTTACCCACTTACTCCGCCATTTCCCTAGCCCCCATTTTTTGTATTAGTGGAATGACACCATGTCTTGTCATGTAGCTCAGGTTGGTCTTAAACTCTCAATCCTCCTGCCTCAGTCTTGCTAGGGCAGGGATACAGCATGTACCACTAAGCCTAGCTAGACAAATTCTTAGTATTGCTTTGAACCTGAGTCAGATTTAATGTCTTGGTAAACAGATCTATCTCCCACGTTCTTTTTACTATTCTTTATTTTATTTTGTGTTGTTTCTTTCTGTTTCCATGTTCTTGTGTTTGTACATCAGTACCTGTTGTACCACAGAAGGGCCTGGGAGGGTCATACTGCAGATAGAAACCTGAAACCTAGAGTAAAGACAGACACAGGGTCATGCAAAGACAAGTCTAGCAGGAAGAAGCCCCAGTCTCAAGCTCCTGCTTCCTTCTTTCTAATCCCAGGTCTTTCTGTGGGAGCCTCTTGCTTAATCTCTCCAAATGACTTTTGTCTTTATGTACTAGAGACAGAACACAGCACCTGAAACATGCTAGGTAGGTGCTCCACCACAGGGTAACAAGCCCAAGCCTGAGCAACTTTCTTCATTCTTTTGATGAGGTCTACCTAATTAAACCTCAAGGTATAAGTTTATCCATACACAGAAAACAGAGTGCTTCACATGTGATAAATGCTATTTAATATTTTGTATGTGGTGCATATATGCATGTTCACATGTGTGTGTGTAGGCCCAAGGCTAGTATCAGGAGTCTTCCTCAACTGATCTGGCAGGGTCTCTCAGTTGAAACCAGAACTTGCTGCCAGTTTACCTAGTCTAGCCAGCCAGATTGTGCCAGGGATCCTGTCTCTACCATCCAAGCACTAGGATTACAGGTGGACCTCCACACCCACCTTGCATTTATGAGGGTGCTGGGATCTGAACTCAGGTTTTCCTGCTTGTACCAAAAGCACTTTATCCATGGAGCCATATTCCCAGCCCCAGTGCTGCACATTTTCTAACCATTGTTACTACTGTAATTAGGTGAAACTAAACCCAATTGGTTTTTTTGGGTTTTTTTCTTTTTTGTCTTTTTGAGACGGGGTCTCCCTGTAGCCCCAGCTGTCCTGGAACTCACTATGTGAGCACCCTTTGTTGCTCATCAGTCTTTCCTAAAGAATAGAAACCACTCACATCTGGCTGATTCCAATTCCTACTATGGCTCCCCAGTACTCCTGTGAGATAAATACCTACAAAACAGGCTGTGTGAGGTGGTGAAATCCTGTGATCTCAACTACAAGGGAGCTGAGACCTAGGCTACATACAGGGTGAGTTCAAGGCTAGCCTGGACAAGTAAGACCCTGTCTCAAAAAGCAACATGCGGAAAGGGCTGGGGCAATGGTAGAGGGTTTGCACAGAATGTAAGAGACCCTTAGGTTCATTTCCTAGAAGAGGGTAGGAAAGGAGTTAAGAAACCCAGAGGAAACCTCCAACACCTTATAATTGATGATCACTGTGGCCTGCCATCCCCATCCCAGGCACAGGCCCGACCCGGTTGTCATCTCCACCGGGATCCCCTTCCCTGCTCCCCAACTCTGGTAGGTTGTCACGACTGAGTCCTCACATGACTGTTCATTTGGGCCTCCCCATTTGGTTACAATCTCGAGGGACCACGTCTTTCTTGTCCACCATCTCACTCCCACACGCCCCTTGCTTTCGCCTCAATAAGCCTTTGTTGCTTGAGGAACATCACTCGTTCCGGATTCCTGCCCGCGCACCCCGGGATTCTCCTAAACGTAGTTACCCCTCCGCAGCCCTGAGGAGCTGCAGATGCATCAGCGAGGCGGCACGCATCACGCGCCAGGCTCACCTCGCCGAGAGCCTGCAGGCTCTTCACTGCGCCCACCACCGCCTGGTGCTCCACGCCCAGCTGGGTGGCCAGCTCCGCGCTATCCAGGCCGCCATCAGCCGCCTTCAGCCGCCGCAAAAGCAGCTCTGCCACAGGACCTTCCGCCATGGTGGCTCCGGTAGAACCCAGCCTGCGTTGTCTAGAGAGAGCCTGGGAAACCGGAACCGGAACTCAGGCCTGAAGCGTGTGCCGCCATTTTTAGTACGGCTCACAGTTGGGCGTGGAGGGTGGCTGTCACCATCTTCAGCTTGGCAAATTAAGTCTCAAAAGAGTGGAAGTGGCGGGCCTAACGGTTAAGAACATTGTTTTTGCATCCCATCACCAACATAGCAGCTAACAAGTGTCCGTAACTCCAGTTCCAGGGGATCCGACAGTCTCTTCTGTCCTCCACGGGCATTGCACGACACGGGTGCCCTTACCTACATGCAGGCATAACACTCACACACATAAAATAAAAATAATAGGCCGGGCGTGGTGTCGCACGCCTTTAATCCCAGCACTTGGGAGGCAGAGGCAGGCGGGTCTCTGAGTTCAAGGCCAGCCTGGTCTACATAGTGAGTTCCAGGACAGCTGGGGCTACAGGAAAACCCTGTCTCAAAAAGACAAAAAATAATAATAATAAATTAGCAAATAAATAAATAAATGTTAAAAAAAAAAAAAAAAAAAGAGTGGAAGGGGGCTGGGTGTGGTGGCGCACGCCTTTAGTCCCAGCACTGGGGAGGCAAGGCAGGTGGATTTCTTTGAGATGGAGGCCAGCTTGGTCAACATAGACAGTTCCAGGCCAGCTGAGGCTACAGGGAGACTCTGTCTCAAAAACACAAAAAAAGAAAAAGAAAAAACAGTGGAAGGGATGCAGCATGCTGTGGCTTGACCGCCAGTGACTTTTGGTTAAGAAGTGAAGTAAAATTGATAATGTGAAGGTCAAAGGTGGTTTCATTTTGTGAAAGTTCCCAGAAATAACTCCAGCAACTTGGAATGAATTTCCTGAAAGGCTGACCAACTGATTAGCACTCTGAAGATTGTGAAGAGTCTAGACTGTTGCAGATTCAGAGCTTATTCACAAATCATCTGGGGACATCTTTAACCCCATAAATAGCAACACCTTGCCTACCTCTGTTTCTGAATTAACATTCTTGTGACTAATAAAATATATTAACTTAGCAGACCACTAGGTCCCACCAATCAAAATGGTAAGAATGTCATCAGATAGCATCTGAGACCTATAGTAGAACCCCAACACCCTGCCACCCCGCTTTGCTATGACCTGCCTAGTGAATGTATCCACCAATATATTTGAAAAGTGTCTTGATGGGGCTCAGCGGTTAAGAACACTGGCTGTTTTTGCAGAAGACCCAGATTCGAATCCCAGGATCCACATGGCAGCTAGCAACTGTCCATAACTCCAGTTCCAGGGGATCTGACAGACTCTTCTGTCCTCCACAGGCATTGCACGACATGGGTGCAGTTACCTATATGCAGGCAATACACACATACACATAAAATAAAAATAATAAATAAAGCCGGGCGTGGTGGCGCGTGCCTTTAATCCCAGCACTTGGCTCAGTGGTTAAGAGAACTGACTGCTCTTGCAGAGGACCAGGGATTGAGTCCCAGCACCCACGTGATGGCTACTGAACCTTCCTTAACTTCAGTTCCAGGGGAATCCGAAGCCCTCTTCTAACCTCCATGGCATTGCACGACGCGGGTACACATAAAATAAAAATAATAATTAAAATATTAAAAATAAATAAAAATAAAATTTATTGGTCTTTTTGAGACAGGTCTCCCTGTAGCCCCAGCTGTCCTGGAACTCACTATGTAGACCAGGTTAGCCTTGAACTCACAGAGATCGGCCTGCCTCTGTTTCCCAAGTGCTGGGATTAAAGGTGTGTGCCACCACACCCAGCTAAGCTGCTCATCCTTGGTGCTGCCCAACTCAGGTCCTGTGCAAGAGCAGTACATGTAATTGCTGAGCCAGTCTTCAGCTGCTAGCCTTGAACTTTTGGAACCTTCTGCCAACACCTCCCAAGTGCTAATATTACACGGGTACACTACTACGCCTGGCTAAATATAGTTTTGTGGGTCCCCCCAGTTTCATGCAGCCACCACACCAGCACTCTATGTAACCTTGTAGTTTAGGGACTCAGAACCTTTCCATCCTTCTGGAATTCATTCTTGACCAGTGGGTGGTAAGGCCCAGACATGGTCATTCTACTCATACCAACTACTTTTAAATTTTCAAAGGGAAGTTAGGTAGGGAAGAAGGACTCACTAGGAATAGTTATAGTCAAGGAGCCTTCTGACTTATATGAAGTACTTCAGTTCTCCCCAAAACTGATGATATAGACACTCTATAATCCTCCATTTCAGAGATGAGAAAAGTGAGACTCAGAGGCAAATATGACTACAGACATGGAGTGGATGGATAGGGCCAGAAGTGTTGTGAACCCTTCTGCTCCTACCCTTTCCTTTGGTTCTCAGGAGACCAGGGCAATAATGTATCTTCTAGATCCCAATTTTTTTTTGGTGGGGGGGTCTTTTTGAGACAGGGTCTCCCTGTAGTCCCAGCTGGCCTGGATTCACTATGGAGACCAGGCTGGCCGGATCCCAACTTTTTAAAACTGTGTCTTTCAAATCCATATAGGGGTCCTGTGAATCATCCTGGGAGTTACAAAACATTGACAACAATAAAATGTATGTTTCTGAATATGCAATGACCAAGATTAATTCAAAACCAAATGCAATGAATCCAGGGTGTTTCTGGAATCACTTGACTTTGTTGGGTTGTGTGACCCACCACAATGTTTTGTTTTGTTTTGTTTTTAAAACTTTATTTTTTATAATTTTTTAAATATTTTATTTAGTATTTTTATTTTTATGTATGAGTGTTATGCCTACATTGTAAGTGCACCTGTGTCGTGCAATGCCTGCGGAGGACAGAAGAGGCTGTTGGATTCCCTGGAACTGAACTTACGGACGAACAGTTGTTAGCTGCCATGTGGGTGCTGGCATTCGAACCCGGGTCTTCTGCAAGAACAGTCAGTGTTCTTAACCTCTGAGCCATCCCTACAGCCCTAAAATTTTATTTTTTTGAGACATGGTCTCACTATGTAAGCCCTGGCTGCTCTGTAACTCACAGAGATCCTCTTGCCTCTACCTCCCAAGTACTGGGATTACATTCATGCTTACCATACCTGGATAATTTTAAAAGTTCATTTATTATTGTTATTATTTGTGTGTGTGTGTGTGTGTGTGTGTGTGTGTATACAGGTACAAGTATGCCATGGCACACGTGTGTGGAGGTCAGCAGATAACTTTCCGGAGTCAGTTCTTTCCTTCCACAATGGAATGGAATTTAGTTTGTCAGGCTTGTGCAGCAAGTGCTTTTATCCACTGAACCATTTCATCCAGCCCTAGCCTTGATTTTGAACACAAAACATATACACTGATGCATCACAACATACCACACAACATATGCTCCCTGAAATACAGTAGCTTAGGTTGAGAGTACTGTAGATTATGAACTTGTGTTGGTTAGTTTTTGTCAATTTGACACAAAAAGTTACCTAGGAAGAGGGAACAAGTGAAGGATTGCTGAGATGAGACTGGCCTGTGATCATGTCTGTGTGGCATTTTCTTTTTTGAAAATATTTGTGTGGCTGGGTATAGGCGAGCACGCGCTGGGCTCTCAGGGTCCCAGCGAGCACTCCTGGGCAGTGAAAGCTCCTCTGCTACTGAGGTCTACTCAGTCGATCCCGTCCCTATTTCACCCATATACCTTCCTCAGGATGTGAGGTCCACTCACTGGCCACTTGGACCACATGGGAAGCGTACGAGGAACAGCGAAAGCCAGGGTGTCCGTGAGTCGGTGATGGAGGAATAGCGCCCCCCAGGGAGACTGGATCACAGGATTTAGTGTTACAGCTCAAGACAAGTGACTCAGCTCAGATCTCAGTGATTCAGCTCCAGCTCCAAGTCTAAGTGATCCAGCTCCAAGTCTGAGTGAAGTGATCCAGCTCCGAGTCTGAGTGAAGTGATCTAGCTCCAATTTTATTGGGGTAAAACTAGGACCATTTATAGTGTAGAGACAGTAGAAGAAGTCTTAGCTGACAGGTACTTTTAGGATGCCTCATTTACATAGGGCGGTGGGCTTCTATCAGGCTATCAGACAACGCCTGATTAAAACCTGGTAGCTCCTGTGCCGGAGGGCATGTATTTGTGGCGAGCACTTTAAAAGAAGAGTCAGGGAGGATGCCAGGAAGGTACTCTGCTATGAAGGAATCTGTAGCACATGGTTTCCGAGCTCGTGAGCTATCCGGACGTGAAGAGACTTCTACTTGCATAACAGAGAACCCCAACAGCTGGGCATTTCCGAGCTCGTGAGCTATCCGGACGTGAAGAGATTTCTACTTGCATAACAGAGAACCCCAACAGGGATCGGATCTCTGTGAGTTTGAGGCCAGCCTGTTCTACATGAGTTCCAGGCCAGCTGGGGCTACAGGGAGACCCTGTTTCAAAAAAAGACCAAAAAAAAAAAACCCCCCCCAAAAAAACAAAACTGCTTGTGTGTATATGTGTATGTATAAGTGCATTGCCCGCATGTATGTAGGTGCACCTGTGTCATGCAATGTCTTTGGAGGTCAGAATAAGGTGTTGGATTCCCCTGAAACTGGAGTTATGGACAGTTAGCTGCCATGTGGATGCTGGGAATTGAACCTCTGTTTTTTGCAAGAGCAGCCAGTGCTCTTAACTATTGAGCCATCTCTCCAGCCCCTGTGTGGCATTCTCTTAATTGCTAATTGGTGTAGGAAGGCCCAGTCCACTGTGGGTGGTATCATCCCTGAGCAGGTGGGATACCATGCCAAACATCTTTAATCCCAGCACTCCAGAGGCAGAGGCAGGTGGATCTCTGGGAGTTCAAGGCCAGCCTGGTCTACTGAACTGGCCAGAGAAATAAGCCTTAGTAAGCAGCTTGCCTCCATGGTCCCTGATTCAGTTCCTGATTTGAGGTTCCTGCCTTTGATGATGGGCTGTTTTCTGTAAACCAAATAATCCCTTCCCTCCCCAAACTGCTTTTGGTCATGGTATTTTATCACAGTAACAGAGAAGAAAACCAGAACAGACCTGCAGTGTTTTACTTACTG